ACACACACACACACACACACACACACACCTTCAAACATCCTGTCTTCCACACACATCTGTACGCGTACACATAATAATGTAATTTTATGTTTGTGATTAAAAACAGACTTACATTCACACACATAAAATAAATGAACAACGATTGAACAATACACGTGTGTTAAGCTGGAGAAATCAAGTCAAATCTGTATTTTATAGTACTGATGATAAAGGTCATGCTTTACAGGTCATGGAATACTTATATTATAAGATGATAAAGATGATAGAAAATTAATGAAGGATTGTAAAAATGACCTTGTGCTCTATCCATACGTTTTTTACCTACAAGTTCGCCTAGGTCTATGCAAGTAATCAGTGGGGTGAGATGGCTTCAACTGTGTGATTTACAGTGGATGATCATCAAACAGCAAAAGACTAAAAAAAAGCTGACATTACCTTTACTTCAATAAGTTTTTTTTTCTCCTTTATTTGCAACATGCCAGCAGCAAGATGTAAAGGCATCTCTGCTTACCCAAACTGAATTTGAATAAAAAGTCCTCTAACAGACTGGAGTCAGTTTTTCAGAGCTGAATATAAATTCATATAACTTTCATGCCTTCCATTTTTACGCTGAGAAAGTAAAGGGACATTTATCAGACCCTTGCATATATGGTTAAAAGTTAAGCTTTTTTTCTGCACATCATCTCTCCTTGGAGAGAAATAGATCTATGTACTGTGCACCCTGAGACTATGTAACTTTAACGTAACAATGTGTGTTTTTATCTAAAGAATATTGATACTCATATCTTTGTATTGCTTGTGCAGTCGATTATTTGCTATGTTTATTTTTTTTAAATTGAAATGGGAACTGTGGAGGGGGGGGGGGGTTCACTTAAGAATTTAATAAGATGCTGTATGTGGCAACCAGCTTGTGTTCGAATTCCTATACTTTTTTCCCTTATGAATGACAGCTGGAATGCTGAGTTGAGATTCCTTTTTTAAAGCCATGAGTTATTATCAGATATGAAAAGTGCCAGGTGTCCATAGCACATTTTTGAGAACATTAACCTCTGTTTAAAAACGAAGAGGGGCAACGGTAGCTTTGTTCATCCATCGCTTTTTAAATGATATGCAGTGTTTATCTAACATGAAAGTACTGAGCTCTCTCTATATTATTACTATAAATTTTTAGCCAAACTCCACTGTTTTCCCACTCATACGAACATAATATTTGTCAATGGGCAGGTTGTTGTTTTTTTTCACCTCAGAAATGGAACAAAATTAAATAGTTTTTCTTTTTTTAAAGGGGGGGGGGGTTGTTATAAGACAACGACCTCACTTTGCGCTCGGACAGACCGAATGTGAGGAAGTACTGAAAACATGTAGCCTGCTGTGCGGAGAGGATGTGGTACGTTCAGACAGGGTCGTGTTAGGTGATGAATGAACCCTGTAAACAGTAGGCATGCTTTTTTTTTTTTGGTAATGAAGAGAGACCTAAATGGCCTTTAGTTTTCATTTACTCGGCACTCAGTGCTTGAGGACCATCCCCCTCCCCCACTCCTCACGCCCGTTCCCCCCTCTCTTTGTATCTATCTATTTATCCATCCATCCATCCATCCATCTATCCATCTATCTATCTATCTATCTATCTATCTATCTATC